GATTGTCACAGACTTTCAAGTCTGCTGTCAGAGGCTGGACATGTGTTAGCTTGAGCTAGAGAGTTGAGTCATCATAGTAACATTAAATCATGGTAACATATATTTACCCTAAAACAATGGACCTATAACTTCATGTTTATTAGATAATGGAATTAAAGTGGCCCTGCTGTAAAAACAAACAAACTAAAAACAAAAATAGGAAGGACCGGAAACCTTGCAGTATTCCAAAGAAGTGTCGCTTACTCCTGGAATTTTTTCCCCGGTAAGTCTTAAAAGTTCAAGGTGGGAGGAATTTGATGGACTGAGAGGGAATAATTGCATAATGATCTAATTTCTTTAATCACATTCCTGCATATAAGCTCACTCCCTTCCAGTTTATGGTAGGCTTAGTTTATTTTCATGTTTATTTAATTACTTACTTATTAGATGTCAAAAAAAATCCACTAAAACATTTTCTTCTTCTTAAAGGTTTAACAAATTCAGTATTTTACCTATTTTATGGCCAGTCTATAAAATATGCCATAATCAAGTAGACTTCAAAGTTAAAGACGCATTAAAATACTATTGTCAACTCATTATTTACACGTTATTTAAGTTTAAAGCTAGGAGAATGGCGACGGGAAAATAAATCAATGGAAAACATTTGACTTGTCCTCAAAGGCATTTTGAATACACAGTAATCAAAATACAGAGACGTTAATCAAAAATATTTGAAGCATGAAAAAAAATTAATCTGCTGAGCTGGAGGATATAGTTACTTTCATTTTTGGGACTTCTCTATTAACTTTTTACGGGTAATGTAATGTAGGTAAATCTGGATTTGGATCAGGCCTCTCCAGCCAGGTGTAATTTATGTGTAAACAGTGGATCTGTAGGGAGGTAGGCTCTCTTGGCACCGTTTCCAGCTCCAGTGAGTCTGCCTGAGCGCTGCGCAGTCAACCGTCTGCAGCGCCACTGGCTGCAGGGATATCCCGATGAAAGAGGAGACTGCTCGGGGTAAGTGTCAACTCGCAACCGTTTGGTTCCGCTCCGTATTTGTGTCGCTTTTATCCGCAGCTTCTGTGTATACTATCGACAGACGTAAATGTGTAAACGGAACAGTTTTGCTTCGGCTTCTTTGGTGACAGAGACTGGCCAAAGGCCCGGTGACCCACATTCTTATCTAATGCTGCACGTTAGCTAGCTAGCTTCAGCTGAAAGTGGGTTGACACACATACAGTACATTGTTGCCGACGAGTCAAACGCGCTACCTTCTATTATAAAGTCGCGAGTCAGCGACGTACGATACAGACAGGTATGTTGTTTTATCTTCTTCTTCTTCTTTTTAAATCGGGTGTACATATATTCCCAGTGTGTGTCACACGTCTCGGGAAGTGTGTTAAAGTATATAGCTATTGGTTTGTTGCTGTAATTGGCGTTAGCGAAGCAAGCTAGGTGGCGTTAGCCTCCAGGCAATCAGTACCCGGTGTACCGGCCGGCATCGCAGGCAGGAGGAGACGGAGGGAAACATGAGCTGTACCTGTGTTTGTCGCGTCAAGGTTCAAGCTCAGTTGATTTTTACAAACGCTACCACCGTGAATGCCTCATCGGCACATATTTCTATATTTACGCGTCTTTTTTAAAAAAAATTTAATTTAGAAGACGTATGTCTTTTATTCCCCCCTCTGTGTTAATCTTTGTGACTCTTGTCATTTCTCTCAGATTTCGAGCCCTATATCCGCCCCGGGTGCTCCTTATTCACCTGTCCTAAAATCGATCGCGTCTCATCTTCTGTCAGTCTGGTCCAGAAGTGTCTGGACACAGCTGGATCATAGCTTGTAGATGCTAATGAGAAACTGTATAGTCTCATACGGGTGTCAGCAAAGCTTTACTTGCTGCGTTGCTGACACTGCTGCCTGCAAACTGAACACAGTGGAGAGCTGTGGCAGCCCTATGATATAAAAAATAAAGCAAGATTTGTTTTTCTGTAATTAGAAATTGATTTTTACAGTAATTTATTCTGAGCAAGACACCAGTAACCACGCTGTATTTCTGAAATGGTCACTTCAAAGCTAAGGTTCTCTCTCAGACTTTTTGTTTTTCTTCCTTTTTTGTTGTCCCAGAATAAAGAGTATTTCTCCTTTTGACACTAATTGGATACACAGAAGACTTTCACTAATCAAAGTTATTTGATTCTGTTTAATTAAGTTCAGATTTCATAAAACATGACAGATCTGTTTTTATACAGTACATAAACTGGTGACTAACATGCCAACCTGGCGTTTTTATACAAACAGTATTGAAATGGTTTATACGCTTCACTTTGTGCACTCTGTTCATTTCGAGAACCACAACTGCAAATCAGTATTTATTATTTGTCACTGTCATAGCTTTTTAATTGTGGGCAAATGGCATAGACTTTAACTTAAGCCTGGAAGCTGAAAAATACCTTTAATTACAATGCTGTCTGTTGTGATTAAGAACAACTAGAACCACTCTTAAGGTTGTGTGTTTTTTTTCTTCTTCCAGGCTTACCCTTTATTTTTTTGCCTGTGGTGATGGGCAGTAAACGCAATAGTGAGGATTTGATTTCATTGTTAATCATTAAACTAATTAAACTATCAAGTTGGTATCTTCCTTTTTATCATCTTTCTATAGATATATATACAAGTAACAGATATATCTATTTGGCATGATATTCATTGACTGATGAGTAACCGTGACTGTAGAGAAGTACTAACCTGAAGTAATTTGGGAGCAGTTTCCCTCTTCCTTTGTTTCTCTTACAACGGAAAATGTTCTAATAATGGTCGGAAAAAAGATGGATCAAAGGCATCTTAGTGTGTGCCTTTGATTACTTTAAATGTGTCTAAATGACTTGTTGTTTTCAGAATTTTTAAGTAAAAAAAAAAGGGTCCAGTGTTGGTCAAGCTGTATTAACTGATAAATCTTTGGCAGCTGTGTTTACAGACGGTACAGTCTCTGTACTCCATTTTTACCCATAAATAGATGTTGAAGCTGTTAGCAGAGCATGGAAAATACTTTGACACCTTTTTAGTTGCTGGCACTACATTGTGCTGCAGGTAAAAGGAGGAAGCAGAAATTTTCTCTTTCTCCACTTTCTCTCTGCTTTGGTAGATTAGATTTTACTTGTGTTATCTGTTTCTACTTGGCATCTTAATTTAAGCGTCACGTTTTTTCTACTTTATTCTAAAACCTCAACTGCACATTTACATTTACAGGGAATAAGTGTTTTGTGCGTTAGATGCTGTGGCTATTTGGAATAAAAAGCAGCAGTAGAGCATGGCAGATTTTCTTTAAACGGAGGAGGAGGGACTGGCAACACCGTGAGCTATGACGGAGGTAGAGGAACACATACAGATTATATTATTACCTGCTATGCCTAATAATGTAATTACTGAACGCCTGTCATATCAAGTTTTCCTGATAGACAGGAGCCTGTGTTGATTCAGTGCAATGTTCTCTGGCAGCTTTCAGCTATTCAGAGGACAGATAAAAGGTAATGGCACTACTCGGGCTTTATATCTATAGTTGATACTGTTAGTCAGCAGATTGGAGTGCTGTGCTGAATTTCGGAAGTTGCATTAGTCAGTTCACATTACAGAGTTTGTGTTTTGCTTGAGTAATCATTGATGCCATGAACTTGGTGCATTTGTTTTGAATGTGAACTGCACACTGTGTCAAGGATGACTACTATAGCATCGTGTCCTCAGGGTCATTTTCCTCTCAAAATCTGTGCTACAGCATCCATCTATAGAATTCAAGCACCAGATTTCCATTCAGAAGTCTTTCGTCCAACCCTGTCTTAGTAATATTATGTTTCTTAAGTTCCTAACCATGTCTTTGCTGCATTTTGTCAGACAAACTAATTGCTTTGTTTTCAATCTCTGCCAGAGGATGACTTCTAAAGCCTTTTTCAGACGAATCTCTTGCTTGTTGCTTTTTTTTTTTTTTCAATTACTACAAATAATTATTGTATGAGAGTTTTGGCTGTTGATGGGTTTTACATCTGAAGTTGTTACTGAAAACAGGAGTTGATAAGTCAGCATTTAACTTGACCTAAAAACCTGAAAAAATTTGACAGGTATTTCCTCTTTTGATGTGAAATGCAATTTCACAATGACTCAGAGGTTACAATTCTTTTGTAATGAGATAGATCAACTTATCATTACAGCCATTTATTATGCTGATTTCACTAGTAGGGAACCTTACTGCTGTTTTAATAATTTTTTGTTGTGTCATTTGGATTGCATTGCCTGTTGAAGTTGTGTAAGATTTTGTTTCTGCTGAAATACAATATCCATCCATTAAGCTATCTATCCATGGATCCATTTTTCTGCAGTTTATCTGCAGAGGTTTCCCTCTTCCCAGCCAACTCCTTCAGCTAATCTGGGGAAACACAAAGTGTTCCCAGGCCAGCCGAGAGATGTAATCTCTCCAACTTGTCCCGGGTCTACCCTTGGCCCTCCTTGCAGTACGACATGCCCGGAACACCTCACCCAGGCAGCAAAGTCAGATGCCCAAACCACCTAAACTGGTTTCTTTCTCTGTGAAGGAATAGCAGCTCTACACTGATTCCCTCTTGTAAGAACTCCTTACCCTATCTCCAAGCCACCTTTCAAAGAAGACTCATTTCTTCCACTTGTATCCGCAGTCTCATTCCTTTAGTGACTACCCAAAGCTTATAGGGACATACATAGACCACTAAATCGATAGCTTCAGTTTTACGCTTAGCTCTCGCTTCACCACGACAAACTGGTGCAATGCCACAGTCAGTCTTTTAATCTCCCACTTCCCTCACTTTGAATAAGACTCCAGGATATTTGAATTTCTCCACTTGGGGCAACAACTTGTCCATAATCCACAGTAGGTTCATGCCGAGAATGTTTTGGCCCCTAAGGCCTGGCCACTAGATGCTCTCTCTTGAGCTACCTCTCTTGGCTCCAAGGTTGGGCCCCAGTAACCACAGTAATTTCTTTTCACAGGGTACTCGGAATCGCTCTTCATTTGTCTCCCCACCCAGGGCCAGTTTGCCTTAGGAGACCCAACCAGGGCTAAAGCCCTTGACAGTATAGCCCCTGGGATCACAGGGACACAGAAACCCCTTCCACTAACATAAGAGCGATTTATCTTGGGGTGAAATAAAGTGGTATTTGTTAAAAAACAAACAAACATTTTAACTGCTAACATTTGATGTTTACACTTGATGAAGCCAGTTATTCAAAAGCTCACTAACAGAAATCAGCTACTAGATTGTTTATGTTGACTGTAATGAAGTGATATGTCATGCTGTTCTAAAGCAGGCTACGCTTTATTTTGTTTTTGATGGTAGTTAAAAAAAGACTGGAGGTCAGTGGAATAATAACAGTCCACCTTTAATAAGAAGACCACATTATAAGATCTAAATAAATTTATCACTGTTTTTTGTAGTAAATAATAATGTATTATAATAAATATGATGTAAATATTCTCAAAATAATTTTCAGACATCAAGATGGTACACTGTTAAACAGTATATTTTTCTTTTGAAGTTTTATTGAAACCAACATATTAATTACCAAATTAATGAATTATGTGTTGGCTCATAATTCGTTTTTCACACAGAGCAGTGGCAAGTGAAATATTAACAAGCTCGTGAAGATTTCTCTTTGCTGTCCCCAAGCCTTTAGAGGACAATGATCTCTGACAGCAGCATTAGTTGCAGAGAAATCCTTTCACCACACAGGGTTGTTTGTGTCACACTGACCTTTCACTGAGAGCTGAGAGGATTTTTCCTCTTCATTCACAGACTTTGTCAGCAGTTGTTTCTTTGTGTGACCTAAACACTAGTTCCATTTCTTAGTAAACAATTTATCTCTTTGGCTCAGTATGCGCAGTGATATCGGAGTTATGGGAGCTGACGAGGTGCAGGCGGAGGCTTGTTTGATGTTGAACTTTTGAACTTGTAAAAATGTGTTGCTGAGATAACAACTGTATATCTGTGACAGATATAAGGACTGAACTATATACTTATGTTTTTATTATACTCATTGTTTGTGCTTTACCAGAATGGATAATTAGTGAGTAGTAAAAATACAGTGCAGTCTTGCTTATGTTTCACCTTCTTTTTGCTGCTAGTAATCTGTTGGTTTAATTATGATATTATTGTAAGTTAAACATCATAAATTAAATTTAAATGCAGTAAAATCTTTAAATATACAATACAGAGCAAAGGTAACTTTTTTTGACAGCAAGTAATTCTTGTAAAAATAAAGAAGCTGATCTACATGGAGATTAGGTGGAATTGAAAACTGTCTTAGAATGATGCTACTATGATGAAGAAAAAAATAGGTCAAGTCTACTGGGGTTTCCCCTAAAAGTGACGTTAGTATACCAGCAACTTCACTAATGATTTTGTATTTCTGAAAATGACTCGTTATTTTTTTAGTAAAAGACAAAAGCACAGAGAAATGTGACAAAAACCAAATAGATAATTTGTAAAAAGTTTTTTTTTGTGTTGGAAAATGTGGAATTTGATCAGTTGCGTCTTGTGCCAATGTTGCCTAAGCCGAACCCAAGTTTTTACATTGATGCTTCCAAGTCTGTACTTACACATATTTGTATGCTACTGTTTGTTTGAGGTTATGACTGTTTGCACCCTGTAGGCTGTAAAAGCATCATGATTCTATTTAATGATAAGAAGTCAGTTAAATATAGACGGTAACTAGAACATCCATTCATTATTGCTGAAACAATATTATTACCTGTGGAGTTTTTCCACGTATAAAGTAAATTAACATTTGTAATTACCAGCATTAAGTTGGGCGCCAAGCGAGATATTAAACAACTTTTGGCTGCAGCTTCACATTTTCTAGAATATTCTGTTTTGCTCAGTTTCTTTATGTTTAATTAATGCATTTAAGATTTTTAATAGTTTTTTTTTTTTTTTTACCAAGATATTGATTTAATTTCAGGCAAATGTGACATTTTTGTTGACGCTATTTTCTTTTTTTCTTAACTAATGAATTGGCAACTGAAAAATAAAAATAGTTAGTGGATACTTTTCTGTGGACGAGTCCGCACAGTTACAAGAAAATAGACATTCAGGCATAATATGTGACAATAATTATTGTAAGTAAGTAAAGTAAGTAAGTAAAATGTATTTATATAGTGCTTTTCACAGATAAAAATCACAAAGTGCTTTACAACACAAGAAATGGAAATATAAAACAATGTAACAGTAAATAAAACAACAATGTAAAACAATAAAAACAACATAAGAGGAAATTAATAAAATGCTTTTGTATTTAAAAGAATCAATGGAGTCCGTGCAGCGTAGAGACAGTGGAAGAGAATTCCACAGCCGTGGTGCCACTGCCTGAAAGTGCGCGGTACCACCAGCAGTCTCTGATATAATGACCTTAAAGCTCGAGAAGACGAATGTGGTTTCAGCAGGTCGATAAATATTGGGGAGCTTGACCATGTAGGGCCCTAAAGGTTAGAACTAAAATTTTAAAATGAAACCTAAAACTTACAGGCAACCAGTGAAGGGAGGCTAAAACTAGAGTAATATGAGATCTTCTCTTGATGCCTGTTAAGAGAGGTGCTGCAGTATTCTGCACAGTCTGAAGACGATTTAAGGCTGATTTGTTAAAACAAGTAAAAAGACCATTACAGTAGTCTAAACGGGAGGAAATAAAATCATAAGGGTCTAGGAAGCTGATATGCTGTCTAATTTCTGAGACCATGTGGCCTGGAGCAATAATTAGAGTTTCAGTTTTATCACAGTTTAGTTGGAACCGTGGTTAAATTGTCATTTAACCATGGCTGATTTCTGTCAGGCAATTACTTAAATTAAACAATTTCTAAAACTCAGAAATCCTGAAGGAACAGTATAGTTGAATGTCATCAGCATAGAGATGATAGGAGATATTTTTATAGCGCTTAATAATTTGGCCTAGGGGGAATATATAAAGTAGAAAGAAAACTGGACCCAGGACAGATCCTTGAGGTACCCCACATGGCAAAATTGTTGATTCTGACGTCACATAATTCATGCAAACAGTAAAAGATCTCTAAGACAAATATGACATAAACCATTTTAAAACAGTAATCCCAAACAAGTTCTTGAGTCTGTTTATCATGCTACTGTGATCTACAGTATCAAAAGCAGAGCTGAGATCCAACAGAACCAGAACTGTGTACTCTCCAGAGAGTATCTATATAACTAGATACTCTAAGTAAGGCCGTTTCAGTGGAATACAATTTACGAGTGTGGTGCTGAAACACACACGCACACTCGCACACTCCTTCAGCATCACTTTTTCTTACGATTGCACAAACTAACATTCAGGTTAACATATTTTTTTATTTATGTTATCTGTGAAGAGACCCTTTCAAAGCTGGTGAATGAAGTGTGTGTCATCTTATTTCTGCAGTGCTGTGGGAGGCTCGTGATGACCCAGATGTTTTAGCTCTGAGTCAGTGATGAAACTCTTTTCTCAAAGCCACCAATTTGTAATTTTAGCTCTTTTTCTTTCTGTTCAACAGGTGAATTCGGACAAGTTTTAACTACAAGTTTTAACTATATTGAGGTGGAGGAGTTGGCGAATTAAGCACCACTCAAAGACAAAAGGTAAGACTTTCTTGGAAATTAACCACTGAATTTAGCTCCGGGTTGCAGCAGTGGACTGTTTAGAGCTTGTGCATATTCGCCTGGGTTAATTAGGCTGTTTAAAGTCTAATTCATCAGAAGCTGTTACAGAGCTATTATTCGTCCATGTTTCAGTAGTGCTCTATTTTTGATTTGCAGTCTGTCATGAAAATGATGAATATGGAAATGAGAATGGTGCTGGCTGAGTCACCAGAGAATTTCAAATGAATTTGTCATGCGAAGATCCAAAGTAGTTCAGTTCTTTGACTACATCTTGCTATAACCTTGATTAACTTCAGACAAAAGCTCTATCACTACTGTTGTTATACACACATTGTGTCTCGTTAAGCTCTCTAAAGGTATATTACAAGAGGCCTAGTCTGGATAAATGTAAATGTATAATCTATTGTATGTATTTATCTTTTCCTGCTTAATAGTTAAAACTAAACTGAATCTCTCTTTTTCATATTTTTAATCTGGATTCCCTGTGTTACTCTGTTAAATATTAATTAGATTAGGCTTAAAGTATAGGTTTAAGGTGGCCTTAACCCATAATAATTAGCTTTTGTTAAAGACAGCTATGTCCGTGGCTACAGACATAGCTGATTAGATGCCATACTGTTGGGTAAATCAGACCCAAGATGGGTTGTTTAAATAAAAATATCAAAATCAATAGAGAAGAACCAATGATATATATATTTTTTATTGCCACCATTCTTCTTTTATGTCATAATATTATGCACGATGTTTTTCAGCAGTTTGGTGTTAACTCAGAGTCCTTCTAGAAAAATCTAGAACCTAGACATCTTGGAAATGCCTCCAGGCAGTTATTTGAAGCTCTTTTGTGAATCAGTAGGAGAGAGCCTGAGTATAATAATTTTAAAGGTCACTCTGACTTAAAAACTAAAAGTACAGAAACATCACTCAAATGAGATTGAGATTTTTATATTAAAAAACAACAAAAAATTGTTTTGGCCCAAATTAAGGTGCAAGTTATTCTTCTACAAGACGTGTCCATAGTTTTTGACAACATCATGGTTTTATTAACAACTTGATTCAGAGCTCAGTGTCTGTGGATCATCAGACTAGACTGTTATAGAATTGACTAATATATTTTTATTTTTTTGGATTTTGTATTCACCATATCACTTTATGACTCTGGTTATGCCAACGGTGACTGATATAACTTCAAGTACAAATGGGCTAGTAGCCTCTTTCTTTTCTAACTCGCTGTTCTTTTTAGTGTTTGCTGTAATTGTTTCATAAGAATATACATTATACACATTGAAAAAGACTTAATGTGGTGCAGTACATGAGGGAAAAATGTTTTATTTGCACACATCATTGACATTATTTGACTTTGTCCAGTAACGGCAAGTAAAAAATAATGTTTTATAATTATTTATTCAGTGCAGAAAGGCGTTGGATTTGGGGGTCTTTATAACAAGTGTTATTATTAGGGCTGAAATTCATAGAAATATCTAACACTATATGTGCTATCACAAGCCACGGTCATGGGATTATTAACTATTATTGCAATTTCCTCTTTAGTTTGTGTGGAGCGAAATTCTTTTATTTTTAAACTTTAAGTCACAACTGATTCTGCAATTATATGGGGAGACTTAAAATACAACTGCACACAGCTTGCTAAAAATATGTATAATCGGTGCAATTCCCATTTCACGTAATGGCGTTAATGGCATACAAGCATTTCCCTTTATTATGGAAGTTTTGCTCAAACAAAAGTGGACAGTAGATGTTTTATAGTTTAGAAGCTGAGGGGTTGTTTAGTTTTAATCAAAATGACAATTTCTTGTTGTTCAAACATTACCTTTTTATGCTAACACTGTTTAATGAAAAATGGTAAAACGTGTAACATCTTCAGAATGATTATTTTCTGCCTGTAGTCAAAAGATAATATGGTTTAAAACTAAGACTGGATTTTTGTACATGCATTGCAGAAATGTCCTGTTACATTCAAAGGCTGAGCTAAAAGCAGATATGGCTATCTTTGGCTATCTCTGAAAAGTTCAGTCAATCAATAAATGTAGTCCAGCGTAGTTAATGCCAAAGAACACTGTAGATAGACATGCCCACTGCATCCGCTTTACTTTATTTCTAATGATTAAACAATAGCTCAACTGACGTGTAAGGATGTTTGCTACATTGCATATCTACACAGGTCTTGTTAGACTTTTAGATCCCATGTCACTTGTTTGTGAGTTCTGCATGATGAATGATGTTTAATTTAAGCTTGTGTAGTGGCAGACAACGGAAGAGTGCACTCTTTATCTGAGATTAACTCCAGTCAATAAAGAGAGATTTTGGCCAGAGCAAAGTTGTTTGGGTGTGCCCTGATATATTAATCTGTGGAAAATAATGTTGCTAAGTCATCTGGAAAAGGACAAGCGCATAATCTCAGACAGAGCAGTCAAGTAATATCATTACTTGTGCAGGTTTTCTACTTGTTCAGTTTGCTCAGAGGGCTACTGCTTGTACGGTGGGAATGCAGTGTTGATTCTTATTTAAGTGGTTGTCTTCTTGTGGTCAAATGTTGGTCATATAGGGCTGCAAGTCCACATTTAATTTTGATTGCTTTCCCCATGCTGCCAGTCGTCCTCCTGAACTCCAGTGACCCACTTGGCGTCAGGATTAGGCCCCTGGCTCAGGTCCTGCTCTTCTGGGAGAGGAGGGCAGCAGTAGTCAAGGGGCCCCTGCCAACTACTGCGGCTTGTGTCTCAAAGATTCCTGTCTGTGGATTAAAAATGCAAAACAAAGACTCCTTTTGTGCCGCTGGGCCTGAGGATGTGTGTGCAGTGAGTGGAAACACAGCTGGCTGCCCTGTGTTTAGTATGGTTGGTATAACTGTGCAGCAGACTGGTGGGCAATGTTGACAAGCTTGTGCTGTGGATTTTATTGCTTACAGGCCAAATGAGTATGACATTATTAAAACCATCGAATCTTCCACTAGCCACAGGAAAGACTGCTCTGCCTGTAAACTGAGAGAATCGCATCATTAATTGCTGTGTGAATGCCACTAGGATGTGCAGACCTTGAAGCTGCCTCTCACAGGATGTGTGACTGAGTAATTTATTCACCAAAGTGTTGTTGTTGATTTGTGTGACCTGCTTGGCAGTGAGGCTGTTGCTGTTGCTGCTTGTTAAAACTGCATAATATTATCCTAGATATTTGCTATCACTTACAGCAGAATGAACACCCTCTCTTCCTTATGGCTTTCTAAACCCCGCATTGTGTCTGTTTTGCTGAAAATTGTGTGAGAATAAAGGGTGAGGCTTATAAGCACCACAGGTTTTTAAGTGGTTGACAGACTTTCAAGAAATCTTGTTAAAGCTGTGGTCTGTGCTCCCACACTTGGGATCAATGAGAGTTCACCCATCCCCTGTTCTCAGGTATCGGGGTTTTGACAGATGATGGGGAAAACACAAAGGTTGCTATGAAACCAGAGTTCATCTACTCATGTGATATAAGACCTGCTGGACAGTGTTATCTGTAGTTTGGGTTCAAAGTTTCACAAAATGTCCCTTTTTAAACTGTTTTGCCTTAACATTATTTAGGGCACTGCGTCATATTTTAGACTTGAGAAAAGCATCTAGAGCATAGGTGTCAAACTCTGGCCCGCGGGCCAAATTTGGCCCGCAGCCTAATTACATTTGGCCCGCAAAGCCATACCAAATTACTATTAGAGCAGGCCTACTGGTATTATACAGCTAATGTATATATTGTTTAGTATTAAGCTTTGCTGTTCCATATTCAGTTTTTCAGCTAAACTTGTTTGAGTCCATAAGAAAAGATTCATTCTTATATCTAGAGGAAGATTTTTTTTTTCAATAAATATTAATGTTAGCCCGCGACTTTGTTCCATTTAGAATTTTGGCCTACTGTGTATTTGAGTTTGACACCCCTGATCTAGAGAGCCATTAAATTAGGTTTCTAACAGGCTGGAAGAATGTTCAAATGAATTGGACTTAAAGTATGAGGATTGTTTGCAAGACTGTCTGGTTTGGTGCACAGACAACTTCCTGAGTTAAATATTTAGTTATAAACTGACTGGTATGCAGAATCTTTTGAGATGAGATTTTTTGATACTGGGTTTTTTCTGGTTTAAATTGATTTGATTTTAATTTTAGTCATAATTAAGGCATCTGTTTTTTTTTTTTTAGTCTAGTTTTAGTCAACTAAATATCGTAAGATTATAGCGGAGTTAAATATATAATGTGTAAATTTTGATAATAAAAGTGATTGATAATCAATCTAATAAAACCAGGAAGTCTTGGCCCAAATATTTGGTGTTAAAAGCGTCATATTCACAGGATAAGTCACTGAAAATAAGTGATGGGTTTTCTGATTGTCTTGTCTAGATTACTGATATATTTGTTTTTTATGAATGTAAAAGGCAAAAACTTTTCATTCGCATCTGCAAGCTGACTTGACTTCTTTGAATGCTTCGAAGACAGAATACTGATGAATAACACCATAACAAAAGGTCTTGTTTTAATAACATTGTGAGGGAGAAAACATTTTCATCCTGACATTTTCATTTTAAATAACCATGACAGGCGGAGCTGTCTGGGGCTTTATTGTGCATCTGTATTAGTAGCTGCTGCTCCAGCCTGCATATGAACAAATGGTTCCTGCTCTCATTAGAGTGGAATATAATCATTATACAGTTATTTAATACTGTCCAGTGTAAACTAGGGATATTCCCTGTGACTAATTTACCAGTTGTTTATTGCTATAGTCACATTAGGCATTCGGAAATTGCGGCATAACCAAAATTATTGCAAACAACCACAGAGACATGTCGCAGGCAATTTGTGCTCACCAGTGCAGACTGACTAAGATTGAGTGCAGCATTTTGGCAATGAATTGGATGAGAATTAATAATAAAACTTTCACCAGTCTGTCTGATAGTAATTCTAGTCATTCCATGTCACACTGCAATTGTTGTGATTGAGACAGGT